TAGCTTATCCCTTCGTTCGGTCGACTATGTACGAACGTTTAGTACGTACTACTATACTATATACTTTCTTCGTCCTACTACACACTAAGTACATCTACTCTCTCTCTCTCTCTCTCTCTTCTCTCTCTCTCTCTCTCTCTCTCTCTCTCTCTCTCTCTCACACACACACACATATACACACATGCTTAAAGAAAAAGATTGCTTGGCTCTATATACCATTTGAGCATTATTGATATTGGTGCGGTTTGTATAGGGTCATGGCTCTAAACAATCAAATTAGAACCCACCTTCAAATAGTGTCGAGAAATATGAGTTCAATACTGGGAAGTTTTGTGATAACCTTAACTTATATTTTTCATCTTTAGTTATAAAATTTAAAGCTTCAAAAATAATGTAGATTGAGCAAATCTATGAAAACTTGAAAATTTGGAAAATTGACGGTCCAAAAATACGTTACAAGATACACTATTTTCAAAACTTGGAATCCATTTTTTTCTCATGTACATGCATCTTAATGTTGAGATTATCAATTTGATGATATTTGGGCATCAAAACAACCTCTTATAGTGGAAGTTTTGTTGGGTTTATGTGGCCTTTAAAGGCCTTATGAGTGATTGTGATGAGACATTTGATATAGTGGATCATGAACTCAGTGGGAGTGTGGTCCCTCGTAGACCATACCATGCAAACAATGTTTGCAGACACCAGACTGTACTTGACGGTCTAGGGTAGTCGGTTGCAGACACCAGACTGTGCTTGACGGTCTAGGGTAGTCGGTTGAAAAGAACCCATGTTGCTTGAGCATAGAGAATAAACCGATAAGGTCGGAGTACGCCCGGATGAGTGAGCCGAGGGACTTTGTGACCTTTGTGTGTAATGGTGGCCTACGGAGATGGAGGTCAAAGCCTCATTCATGTACCATCACTTGGCATGCATATTGAAAGACCGTTCAGGAGAGCAAGCAAGCCACCTTTTAGGGTGAAGCATATGCATGTGCGAGAGATACTCCTATGCGTCATAAAGTTGTAGTCACATCAGGTCTAGATGACATTGATTCGTCTCTAGGGGAGAACGCAGAATAGGATTGCAACATTGGCTCATCGGTCAGACTTTAGTGACCCGCTAATGAGCTCCTGCTTGGACTGTGGGTCATGGGCAACATTGGGTCGGCATGATAAAGCAAGCGTAGTCTGTAGTCCATAGTTGAAGGTGGAGTGCCCCATTGTTGATTTAATTCCTTGACCATATGGATCATTTTCCCCTCAAATTAATTTAATTATGTTTTTTTTATAGTATATATTATTTTAGAATTTTATTTGATTTTTTATAAACTCCTGGATATTTTATTTATAAAATTTAGGTTTATAAAAACAAAGATATTAATTTTTTAATGATTTAAATATTCAAATAATATTCTAAAATATATTTTTAATATATGAAATTTTTAGGGACCCATTATGCACATGGACCCACTATACCAAATTTTATGGGGGGCCCACGTTGCCATCCCTTGGGTGGCACGCCCCTATTTTAAGGGGCTACCTATCTCCATAGGAGGCATGCCCTATTTTTATGGATTGGTTTATTTTAATTTATCTTAAGTGGGTTTGAGATGATAAGTTGATATGAGTTTTTGATATGACTTATCTAAATAATTTTGAGTTGATAAGTGTGCTCTATCTTTAAGAGATTTGAGTAAAATATTCTACTAGGCCTGATAAGGCTTATGAATATATTTTGGATAGAGTACAATATTTTATTAATTAATTTTTATATAATAAGATAATAGTCAAAGGAAAGGGTGATAATGGTTCAGCACATTCCGTAGTATGTTGATGGCCCATCTATAAAATGGATGGTTCATATCTCTCACCCCACAAGTCACCTTTGATCGATAGTTAAAATTCAATCTTGAGAGCCAAGAAATAAAAATCTAGACCCAATGTTATATCTCTCTCAAACTTTGTCTTTTAAATAAAAAATGGGGGCTCACGCCCCATTATCCTTTCTCAACTTATCCTCTCACGCAACTCTCTCTCTCCTCCCTCTCATGAAACTCCCACTCTCTCTCAACTTATCCAAATAAAGGGGGAGGCACGCCCCCCTTTCCTCTCTCCCATACTTTATCCCTCTCTCTCTTCTTTGGCTTTTATAGAAAAGGGAGTACGTTTCTCTCTCTTGCATATAGAAAATTATCAATTTTATTCAAAGTCCTAGGGTTCAAGAAAATAAAGAAGGCAGAATTTTTGTTTCAGTATTTTAGGGGATTGATCCCGATAATCTATCATGAGCATAAGGGTTCCATTGAAGAGCTTGGCCAAAAATATTTTTCCCAGTTGAGATTGAATGAAGACCGTTGATCCCGTGCCATCGAATGGTGGCAATTCGATGTGGGGTGTAATAAGCCCGATTGAGGTAATCTCTAGTATTCTCTTTTGTTGCTTCATATTTAAGTGTATAGTCTTTATATTCTCAAACACAATATTTGTGGTTATTTTCTTTGATTAAAGAAAATTGGTTAGTGGCATCAAAGTTCTTAAAATCTTGGATTTATAAGTTTTTTATTTTCTTTAAAGCAAGAGTTATTGTAATAAAGCTACTTGTAAGTGATCTTTTCCAAAAGAAAAGAAAAGAAAAAGGGTGAGAAAAAAAAAAAAAAAATCCCCAATCATATTGATTGAACTTTCAATCGTATCAGCACGATGTTGATATTTAACGATATTAGATGTATTTTCTCTTTATTGTGTCGAGATGAAGCATGTGAATGAGATATGAGAAAGCCAATAATATTTGTGGTCAAGCAATACACTCCGGTTAAGAATTATTGAAATATTCAACACCTCGAAAAAGACATTCTGTTGAATGGGTATTCTGTGCTATTTTGGAGCAGTTATATGAAAAAGAAAATAATGTATTTCTCTGTTGCATACATAGTGATTTTTTGTGTAT